GCTCACTTCCCGTTTGCCTCTTGTTGGTTTTTGTTTGTTTTTTGTTTGTTTTTTTTTATACTACTTATTTTTCTAGTTTGTTTTTTTCAGTTTCTGTTCTTCTTTCTTAATAATTTATTTTCATTGTGACTATGTTTCTTTTTGTTTTTTGTTTCTTTCTTTCTGTTTTTTTTCCACTCCTTCTCCTCTCTCTCTCTCGTCTACTCCTATTTTCTCTTCTTCTCTTTCCACTTTTATCCTTCTCTTACGAAAGGCTTTTTTCCTTTGCACCTATTCCTCTCTTTCTCTTGCTCTCTCCCGTTTTTTTTCATATTTCTCCTTTTTCCTTTATCTTCCTCCTTCCTCCCATTTTCCCTCTTTCAAAAACTCATAATTCGAAACAGATTAAAACAGATAAGGAACAGCAATATTTGTTACTAAAGAAGCGGTAATTTTTTCAGTTTGCGTTGATTGCGTCACTTGCTGTGCATATCTATCTATTTATTTATCTATCTATCTATTATATCTATCCATCATTCTATCTATAGTGCATAACCACACACACCACAACACACACACACAGACAACACACACACACACACAGCACATACATATATATACATATACTATATATATTAAATATATATTATATTAAAAAAATATAAAATTTAATTAATAAATTAATAAATATATTATATATATATAAAAATATATATTATATATACATATATATGATGGTACCATATTATAATAATATATTATATTTATATATATAGTATTATAATATATATATATATATATATATATAATATATAATATATATATATAATGTGTATATTTATTTTGTTTAAATTTATAACTATATCCAAAGTAAGAATCCTATATTCATTTCATTCATTTATTCATTTAATATTCATGAATCGTTATTTTTCTTAAGTGTTTGGCCTTGATGCGACTCCTGGATTTTTTTTCTTTTTCGTTTTCTTCCCTTCTTCCGTAGACATGTGTGTACCAATGTGCGTATACAGTATTAAATAGTATATGCACAGGGTTTTACATGCGCGCATCGTAGTTAGATGACCAGTGTAATGTACAGTAGACACACACTCATACAGGCATGCATACATATTTTACACACATTCGCGTAGCAAATGATGCACACGCACACATATCATACTGTTATACTATAGTATATGATAATATATATTATTTTATTAATAGATATATATATAATATAATATATGATATATATAAATTACATATATATTATATGTATGTATATGTATTATATGTATATAGATATATAGTAATGTCCCAGATTCACATAAAGAAATAGAGCATTAAGGGGAGAGTCGCACCTGACATGCAGTAAAGCACAAGAAGAGTGAGTGATAAACGTGCAAGAATGAATGAGTGAGCTTGCGTGTGAAGGTCGGCGTGCGTGTGCATGAGCGAGCTTTGTGTGGTGAACGTTTGGTGCGGGCGTGTGCATGAGCGAAACTTGTATTGTGAACGTTTGTGTGTGTGTGTTACATATAGTGAGATTGGTATGTGAAACGTTTCGTCTGCGTGAGCAGCTTGTATGTGACGTTTCTTTGCGTGTGCGTGAGCGAGCTTCCGTGTGAACGTTTCTGCGTATGCAAAAGAGAGTTTGTGTGTGTGAACGTTTGGTGCGTGCGTGTGCATGAGTGCGTTTCACAGCACCGCCGAGCTCTCTGGCCGAGCGTGGGAGTGAATGGAAAAAAATGAAAAACAAAAACAAAACAAAAAAAAATAAGGATAACAGGAATATTAGATTCTCCACCAATATGTTGTGAAGCGTATTGTGCCCTTGTGATGCTTAGCCAGATATTTTGTGTAATGTACATGTAAGAGGACAATAAATGTATATTTTGTGGTTATGAGGTCTTCTTTTCCTATTGTACTGATGACTGATGATGGAGGAGAGGGGAGGATATGAGGAGGAGGAGGAGGAGGAAATAGATGAGAGAGAGCGAGAAGATAATGAGGAGGAGAGAGGAAGATAATGAGGAGGTAGGATGATGATGAGGAGGAGGAGATGAGATGGTGTTAAGGAATTATGGAGGAGAGGAAGAAGATAAGGAGGAGGAAAAGATGATTGATGTGAAGAGGAGGAGGAGGAGGAGGTTAATGTTGATGATGATGATGATGAATGTATGATGATAAATGACAAATGAGGATGAAGATGACGATGATGGTGATGCTAATGATGATGACGATGATTTGACGACAGTAATAATGATGATGATGATAATGACGATAATGATGATGATGAAGATGATAATGATAATACTTCTGATAGCGATGGTAATATCGATAATACAATAAACAATAATTGGAATGATAATTGTATAATAATAATTAATGATAATAGTAATAATTATAATAGCAGTAGTAGTAGTAGTAGTAATAATAATAGTATAATAATAATAATGATAATATGATGATGATAATAATAACAATAATGAAAATAATGATAATATAATAATAATAATAATAATAATAATGATAACAACAACAATAATGATAATAGTAATAATAATAATAATGATAATAATAACAATAATAAAACAATAATGATAATAAAAATAATGATAATGATCATAACAATGATAACTAGAAGCACTCAGAGAGCGCATACCTCCGCCAAAGCAAAATAAGGTCACTGATGCAATAGAAATATTCGCACTTAAAGAATTACATTAAAATGACCATTTTTCAAGTACACTTTTTGAGGTAACATATAGAGGCGTTATCTGTATTTGATCCTACAAGGCGTGTGATTAAAAAGGTGTATTAATATGAATTGTAGTGTAAGAGAGATATATGTTCACATGTTGACGTTTGTGTGTGCGTGTGTATGTGTGTGTGTGTGTTGTGTGTGTGTGTGTGTGTGTGTCTGTGTGTGTGGCGTGAGTGTTTATTACATATCAAATATGTATGCATTTTTATATATTCATTATATAATAGAGATTAGTATTGTAGATATGTCACATATCAGAAAGATATCTCCTTCATTTATCTACACATACACTTTTTCAAATATACTCAACAGGCTTTCATTTTCTAAGCAAAGGATTAAAATTCATGAATTGGTAATCCCACTAAAAGAAACGAAAAAAAAAGAAAAAAAAACATATGCAATTACCTGTTAACCTATGAATATGATTATATTCGTAATTAAAAAGGTAAGATATAAATCACATTTCCGTTCGTTTCACATCCCAAATTTTGCATGAGAAAATTATTTTGTTCATTATCTATAGGTATGTATTGTTCCTATTTCATTATTTTTTTTTTCGTAAATACTTAGAATTGTCTATAATTATGCTGTAGTTTCTCATCCTACTTAACATATAATTAGGAGACAAATTGTTTTGATAACGATATTTGCGAATTAAGGAAAGAAAATAAAATCACATACATACTATAACATGCACACGCACAGTCAGTCACACACACACACAAGGTCCACCACACACACACGCACGCACGCACGCACGCACACACACACAGACACCACACACACACACACAACACACACACACACACACACACACACCACACACACACACACACACACCACACCACTCACATACACGGTCACTCTCTGCACACACCAGAACACCACGGTCACTCACGCGCACACACACTACACACGCACACACAGCACACATTCAACGGTCTCTCAACCACGGTGACAGCTACACACACACAAACAAGCAACACACACACGCACACCGACATACCACACGCGTGGCACAGCAACACGCAATGTACACAGGCCATCACACACACACACACCAATACAACACACACAGTACACAGTTACACACACACACATCCAGCGACACACACACACACTACACTACGCACGACGGCCAGACACACACACCAACATAGTCACACACGACACGCACACCCACATCACACAGCACACACAACCATCGCACCCACACACANTCTCTCTCTCTCTCTCTCTAAAAAGTACCGATAATTAATATAATATTGATAACCCAAATTTTTCATCCTCAGATAGTTGCAAATTTCTTCATGACCGCACTGACTACAAGCTGGGGTGGCAGCTAGAAGCTGAGGGTAATGCGAAGGCCGGAAATGACTCCGACGAGAACTGGGAGATTCCAAGTGATGATGAACACCTGCCATTCAAGTGTTTCATCTGCAGGGAGTCTTACACAGACCCCATTGTCACCAAATGTCAGCACTACTTTTGTGAGAAGTGTGCACTAGAGCAGTTCAAGAAGTCTAAGAGATGTTATGTGTGTGGTCAGAACACTGGTGGTATCTTTAACCCAGCCACAAACATCATGGCAAGATTAAACAAAGGAGATGATAGTGATTGTGATTAATAATGCATTATTTCTCATGTTTTATATTGTAAATGTTTTTTTTTTTTATTAGTGTATATACTCTCTCCAGGATAGTTGCAAAGATCTTTGCTGTAGTTATGTAAATATGAAGAAAGAAACCAGTACAAAGTAAGCTTATTCTTGTTCTTCTGCATTGAACTTTGGAACATAAACCTGGAGTCAGTATGTAGCTCCTACATATTTGCCCTCGGAATGAAAGATGTAGTGCAATTCTTTTTTTCATTTTAGCAGACTTACACTACCTGCATCCATAGTACTCAAAAAAAGGATTACATATGTATTCCCTAAAGTTTATCAGTATTATGAAAGTGACCATCTTTTAAAATGTTTTTGTTCATGATGTGTTTTTGCTTTTTAACAAGGAAAGGTTAATATAATTCAAAATGATAATACATATTTTTGTATGGTGGTCTTTAATTTTATTTAATAAAATTCATAATTTGTACTTATAATAAGGTAAAAGGTCAACATGCTGTCATTTTTAAGATACCTTTTTTTGCAAGAGCAAATGTATTTTTAATGCAACCTCATCATATGTATATTTAGAAAGTTTCAGTCAACCATTTTAGTATTACTCTGAGTCAGTTTCATAAAGTCTGCGGTATAGTTTATTGATTATCATTATACATAGATGGCTTCAATTACTAGTCCTACCTATCTCCCGTGCTCTGCTTTTACTATTGATATTTTGGTAACTGAATAACCATAACGTTGTTAATACCAATGACCATTTTTATGTTAGTAGCATTAGAAAAAAAGACATATTTCCTCCTCAGAAACTGCGGTATGGAGAAATTGGGTGATGTCATGTGGAGCATGCTTACTGACTCCTAGGTGGATAAGCACTTGCGGAGCTGTCTGCATGTAACAAAATTCACAAAATACTATAGTAGACATGGCCAATGGATTAAGAATATATCTCTATTTATATTGTATATATATATCTCTTATTATTTATGATGAAACACTACAGGCAAGCTTTATTTGAAAAGAGACTAGGTGTTTGATTTTTCTTTTTACGTATATTAAAACACTATCGAGTGTTCTGATAAACTTGGTAGCGATGAAGTACATTGTGAAGTACTATGTAATTCAACAACCTATTTGATAGAACACTGACTTATTCCATAACATTGAACACAAATAACATAACTGATAAAAGTATATTGATATATCAGAGGTATTATCAAGGAACACCACATATCATTTTGATAAATGAATTCCACTTTTTTTTTTTTTTTTCTATTTTTTNTCCTCTCTGCCCTCCTCTCCCCTCTCCCTCTCCTCTCCCTCTCCCTTCTCCCTCCTCCCTCCTTCCCTCTCCCCTTCTCCCTTCTTCCTCTCCCTCTCTCTCTTCTCTCTCTCTCTCTCCCTCCCTCCCTCCTTCTCTCTCTCTCTCTCTCTCTCTCTCTCTCTCTCTCTCTCTCTCTTCTCTCTCCTCTCTCTCTTCCTCCCTCCCTCCCTCCCTCCTCCTCCTCCTCTTTCTCCTCTCCTCCCTCTCTCCCTTCCTCTCCCTCTCCTCCCCCTCTCCCTCTCTCTCTCTCTCTCTCTCTCTTCCCTGCTTCTCCTCCCTCCTCCTCCCTTCCTCTCTCCCTCTCCTCTCTCCCTCTCTTCTCTCTCTCTCTCTCTCTCTCTCTCTCTCTCTCTCTCTCTTCTGCTCTCTCTCCTCTCTCTCTCTCTCTCTCTCCTCCCTCTCTCCTCCCCCCTCCCTCCCTCCCCCTCCCTCCCTCCCTCCCTCCCTCTTCTCTCTCTCTCTCTCTCCTCTCTCTCTCTCTGGCTATTCCCATACCAAGACGTGGGAAATGTATACAATAGCTCTCCTCATCTAAATTCCAGGCACGAGGCAATGCATTACTCGGAGATGGAAATAGGAGAAGAAAGAAAAAAAAAGACGATAAAAAAAAACTAAAGGAGGGAAAGACGACATGTTTTCTTTGCGAATTGTCTCGCTCTCTTTCCGTTTGCTCTGGTTTGTTTGTTTGTTTGTTTTCGTTTTTTTCTATACTACTTATTTTTTAGTTTTTTTTCATGTTCTTTTTCTTTTAATATTATTTTCATTGTGATGTTCTTTTGTTTTTGTTTCTTTCTTCCTTCGTTTTTTTCCACTCTCTCTCTCTCTCTCTCTCTTCTACTCCTATTTTCTCTTCTTCTTTTCTCTTCCACTTTTGTTCCTTATCTTACCAAAGGCTTTTCCTTTGCACCCTATTCCTCTCTCTTTCTCGCTCTCCCGTTTTTTTTTCATATTTCTCCTTTTCCTTTATCTTCCTCCTTCCTCCCCATTTTCCTTCTTTTCAAAAACTCATAATTCGAAATAGATTAAAACAGAAAAGGAAACAGTATTTGTACTTAAGAAGGGTAATTTCAGTTTGATTGCGTCACTTGCTGTGTATATCTATCTATTTAATTTATCTATCTATCTATATCTATCTATCTATCCATCTATCTATATGCATACACACATACACACACACACACACACACATACATATATATTTATATATATATATATATATATATATATATATATATATATATATATATATATATATATATATATATATATATATATATATATATATATATGTATATATATATATATATATATATATATATATATATATATATATATATATATATATATATATATATATATATATATATATATATATATATATATATATATATATATATTATATATATATTTATATATATATATATATATATATATATATATATATATATATATATTATATATATATATATATATATATATATATATATATGTGTATATTTATTTTGTTAATTATACCTATATCAAAGTAAGAATCCTATATTCATTCATTCATTTATTCATTCAATATTCATGATCGTTATTTTTCTAAGTGTTTGGCCTGATGCGACTCCTGGAATTTTCTTTCTTTTTCGTTTTTCTCCTTCTTGCGTAGACATGTGTGTACCAATGTGCGTATACAGTATATGCACATCTACTGTTCATGTACGTGTGATGACAGTGTATGTTACATAGACAGACGCACTCATACAGGCATGCATACACACTTACACACACGCAGTTACGCACATGCATGCACACACACATATATGTATATATGTAGGTGCGTGTGTATGTATGTAATATTATACATATATATTATATATACATATATATATATATAATATATATATATATATATATATATATATATATATATATATATATATATATATATATATATATATATATATATATATATTATATATATATATATATGTATATATATATGTATATAATATATATATATATATATATATATATATATATATATATATATATATATATATATATATTATATATGTATGTATGTATGTATGTATATGTTTATATATATAATGTCCCAAATTCACATAAAGAAATAAGCATTCCATTTAAGTCATGGGAGAGTCACCTGACATGCAGTAAGCACAAGAAGAGGAGTGATTGATAACGTGCAAGCATGAATGAGTGAGCTTGCGTGTGAACGTTTGTGTGTGTGTGTGCATGAGTGAGCTTGCGTGAAACGTTTCTTCGTGTGCGTGAGCGAGCTTGTTGTGAACGTGAACGAGCGTTGACTGAACTTGTATGTGAACGTTTGTGCGTGTGTGTGGCATGAGTGAGCTTGCGTGTAAACGTTTCTTCGTGTGCGTGAGCGAGCTTGCGTGTGAACGTTTGGTGGTGTGTGTGGATGAGTGAGTTTCACAGCACCGCCGAGCTCTCTGCCGAGCGAGTGAATGGGAAAAAAATAAAAACAAAAACAAAACAAAAAAAAAATAAGGATAACAGGAATATTAGATTCTCCACCAATATGTTGTGAAGCGTATTGTACCCTTGTGATGCTTAGCCAGATATTTTGTGTAATGTACATGTAAGAGGACAATAAATGTATATTTATATTGGTATGAGGTCTCTTTTCCTATTAGCCAGACTGCCTTTGGTGAGGAGATCAATGATGATGATTATGAGAGGAGGGGAGCAGGAGGCGGAGGGAAAGGAAGATGATATGATGATGATGAGAGGAGGAGGAGGAGGGACAAGAGAGGAGGAAGATAAATATGATGATAAGGAGGAGAAGAGGAAGATAATGTGATGATGAAAAGGAGAGAGGATAAAGATGAGGAGGAGGAGGAGGATAATGGATGATGAGATGAATGATGAATGAGGATGAAAATGATGGATGATGGTGATGCTAATGATGATGAAATGATGATATGCTAAATATGATGTGAAGATGTAATATGATAATTTTAACAATACAAATATGGTAATGGTGATAGCGATGGTTAAATCGATAATAACAATAACATAATTGGAATGATAATGATAATAACAATAATGATAATGATGATAGTAATAATAATAATAGTAGTTGATAGTAGTAGTAATAATAATAATAATAATAATAGTAATATAATGATAATAATTAATAATAATAATAATAATAATAACAATATAATAATAATGAAATAATAATAAAGTAAATAATGATAACAACAAATTAATAACAACAATAATAATAATGATAATAATAATAATAAATAATAATAATAATAATAATCACAATAATCATATAATAATAATAAGAAATAATGATAATGAAATAAATAAGATAACTAGAAGCACTCAGAGGAGCGGCATACCTCCGCCAAGGCAAAAAGGTCACTGATGCAATAGAAAATATTCGCACTTAAAGAATTACATTAAAATCGCCTTTCTCAAGTGCACTTTTTGAGGTAAACTTATAGAGGCGTTATCTATTTTTGATCCTACAACGTGGTGATTAAAAAGGTGTATTAATATGAATTGAAGTGTAAGAGGATATATGTTCACATGTTGATGTTTGTGTGTGTGTGTGTGTGTGTGTGTGTGTGTGTGGTGTGTGTGTGTGTGTGTGTGTGTGTGTGTGTGTGTGTGTGTGGTGTGTGTTTATTACATATCAAATATGTATGCATTTTATAATATTCATTATATAATAGAGATTAGTATTGTAGATATGTCACATATCAGAAAGATATCTTATGCCTTTATCTACACTTACACTTTTTTAAATATACTCAACAGGCTTTCATTTTCTAAGCAAAGGATTAAGATTCATGAATTGGTAATCCCACTAAAAAAAAAAAAAAAGAAAAAAAAAAAAATGTAATTACCTGTTAACCTATGAATATGATTATATTCGTAATTAAAAGGTAAGATATAAATCACATTTCCGTTCGTTTCACATCCCATTTTTTTGCATGAGAAATTTATTTTGTTCTATTTACAGTATGTATTGCTCCTATTTCATTATAAATGTTTTCCTTAATACTTAGAATTGTCTATAATTATGCTGTAGTTTCTCACCTACTTAACATATAATTAGGAGACAAATTGTTTGATAACAATATTTGCGAATTAAGGAAGAAAATAAAATCATATACATACTATAACATGCACACGCACAGTCACAGCACACACACACACACACACACACACACACACACACACACACACACCACACACACACACACACACACACACACACACACACACACACACACACACACACACACACACCACACACACACACACACACACG